ACCAAGGACTTTCTGACTTGTTTCCCCTAGGGTGATATCAGGTGTCTCTTCAAATTTGCTTTCAGAAAGTGGCCGACGTGTAGGATTTTTCAGATTTTACAGTTTTTCAGCCTCTCTATCCCCTTCTTTTCTCAGCCCTCAAATCCTACAAGAAATTTTGGTCTCGACCCCCTCCCTGAATGTAGAAATGTAATCACAAGCCTGCTTTAGCTCTCTAGCTCTGTGAAATGGCCACCGTGGCTTAGACAAAGAACTGCTTTGCACGGGGCGATTTTTCACTAGCTTAGAAAATTGTGTCAAGATACAAAATCGATCTGTCTGCCGCTCTTTCCCCGCTATTACATTTTTTTTCCCTGCGATACTGCGAACTTCTACTGAGACAGAGAAAGTACATTAATAAAAGCCAAAGCGTGTGGCTTGACTCTGTTGTTTGGTTTGCTCTGAACACAGGAAGGATCAATATTTAACATTGACATTAATGGTGTGGGATGAGAGTTTAAAACTCCAACTCCCCTCTTCTTTGCATGGTCATTAAAGATCCCTTGGTGCTTTTCATGGGAGTAAATGACTGTCTCGGTGTCCTTGGACAAAAACAGTTCCTTGACCCTCATTCTTATTAAATATTTATCCCATACTAGTGCAGACTGATCCTCACTGAAGAAGGAGCCTGCTGAGCTTTGGCTGTATAAAATAACTAGCCTTGAGGCCAGCCGGTGTGGCAGAGCCCACGTCCACATTGCTAGCCCAAACTGCATGGCCGTGTCCAAAGTGAGGTACCTAGTCCTACCACCTCCCAAATCATGATTGGCAATTGCCCATGAGATTAGTCCTGGCCAAGACCCTTTCAAGAATGGGCGTCAAAAATTTAATATATGGATAATGGCAGGTCAATGCCATGTCTCTGTCCCAGGTGGGTTTACTATAGGTGCTCTGCTGCTGGTAAGAGCAGAAGAGGCATGAGATGGTTGTCCATGAGCTGGTTCTACTCCCACTGCAGCGTCTTCCATATTAATGTCTGGGCTAGGTTTTGGGAACTATTGCCCACAGTAACCACCGGGGAAGCAGTTCAGATGGGACTAACAAGCCAAGCTGGGGTCCTTCTGTCCCCAGTTCTTCTCCTCCTGCAGGTTTTGTACTTCCAAAACCCATCCACTTACCCCCAGCTGTATCAAGACTGCTGTTTTCCTGGTGCAGGCAGTTTGTAGGTCAGGGCATGGTTTCCTTAGTGGTCCCACTATTACTTCGACATCCCCAGTGCAGCCATTGGAGTGTGTTTATACTGCTAAATAAAACATGCCTTCTCTCCGGCCCAGAAGCCACGTGGCCTGCTCTGACTCATTCCTACTCCCTTCCCATGAAAACAGTGGGATGTGCCCACAGAGTGGCCCTTGATCAGTGCTACATCCCTCTGGGCGCAGTTTGGAAGGACATCTGATTTAGTAGTGCTGACCTGGACAAAGAGCAGGCCCAGGCTCTGCTTGACAGTGGCCACCTCACAGATGCTTCTTGCTCCTTCTCCATCTTGCTGCTCTTGAGCTGCCCTGCAGCATTGGACTCTGAGAGCTCCTATTTGCTTTAGGTAATTACCCTTTGCACCAGCCTAGCTACTCAGACAACCATTTTAAAACCCATCTCCATCCTCTGCTACGACATCCCATGCCATCCAAACTTTGCCATGGAGGAGATGTTTCTTGCCATAACCCTGCTCTGGTAGTGGTTGCCCTGCTGTGCTGCAAATTAAAAATGCAATATTTGTGGAGGCCATGCTACCCACTGAATCTTTCACTGCTTGAAAACATACCTGTTTTTTTAAAATCAGCTTGATTTTGGGGGAAATTTGGAGCACAGAGCAAAAGCAGCCACCACTGAAAGCAGGATTAATTACTCCGTGGTTATCCCGGTTACTCGAAAAGCATAAAACAAGACAGGGGACAAAGGGGAGCAATGGGCAAACTCCAGTAAAAGCATGCTGCTTCCCCAGGGGAAGCCACTCTATTGATGGCAGCATCGATTTGCAAAATGAATTCCCACTCCACTTCCCACAGTGACCCGGACGCTGAAAGCATTAATGAGAGTGAATTCAGAACTCACTTACACCATTAGGTTTGCGAGATGGACTCCATAATAGCAGGTGAGAGATAGATGGGCTCGTTGGCCTGCGAGGGTATTGCAAGGGCTGGAAAGATAAATCCTACCGCTGCAGAAGGAGACTGCCAAGACCGCTTTTCATTTTATTTTGTTTTGTTTTATTTGTATTTATTTATTTATTTGTTTTTCTTTGTTTTTGTACTAGAGAAAAAAGGCCGCCTTGTGCGCCTGGGTCAGACATCGACAGTGGGTCCTTCTGGCGGGGTGGAAAAGAAGACAGGACCGCAGTAAAGAAAATCAAGGCAGAAAAATTATCTTTGATGAGTGCTAAGTGCTTAAGGAAAAGGCCAAGACACTTGTGCTTTCATATGGGCCTGCCATAGAGAGAGGTTATCATGTGGGTGAGCCCCTACAGGGAGAATTACGAGCCCTGGGACAGAGGCCTCACAAGACCTTGAAAGAGGTCATTTCAGCTCCCCGCTCTGAAGTGATGGCAGTAAAGGCTTCTTTCCTCCACCCATGTGGGTCATTTAGATAATAACCTTGCAGCTCTGCAAGGCTTGCATGGCCTGGTGCTGGGCACCAGCTGCCTCCAGCCATCATTTCTGTGTGGAACAGGGACACGAGGACAGGCTGGCCAAGAGCAGCCAACACCTAGAAGAGCAATGCCGTTCCTGCAGTCCCCTGTCTTGTAGGGATGGGGACTTGGGCACGTGTCCCCCACTGCTGGTCCTTGCACTGTTGGCCGTCACAGATGTTAGGAGGCAAAATGCCCCTAACATGCAGGGGC